TTCTTTTCCAGTGAAGAGAACAGCCCACCTGCTTCTCAGGGGCTGGGAGGATGCCCTGGGCGCGCGCCCTGCGTCCTCCGCCTCCAGACCCTCCCCTGCCTTCCTGCCGCCTCCACTCAGCAGCCGGACCCTCCTGGCAGCTACGCTGTGTCAGGGCCACGTCTGGCCTCAGAGGCCAGTGACTGACACTGGTCTGTCCTCCCCAGTTATCAGCCAGCCATCCCAGGGGCTCTGTTCCCCTTGGCCACCAATCCTGTTTGCTAGGCTTTTTAGATGGAAAGTTCTGTAGCCTCATCTCAGCTCCAGGTTCCCTGTCCTCCTCTCTAAACTCACCCAGAGTTCACCGGCTCACACAGGTGACTGCCCCACAAGGTGAACAAAGCCCTTCAGGTCAGATCAGGCTACCTGCGAAAGAGCTTTAGAAAGCTGCACGTCCCACTGTGAAAACAGTATGGCAGGTCCTTAAAAAACACACATACACATGATCCAGCAATTCCACTTCCTGCTATTTACCCCAAATAATAATGACTCCAACAGAGTTGTGTACACCTACGTTCACTGCAGCAGCATTCCCAGCAGCCGAAAGTGGAAGCAACCCAAGTACCCATCAGTGGATGATGGGTAAACAAAATACAGCCTATCCACACAGCAGAATATTACTCAGCCTTACAAAGGAAGGAAATCGACACCTGCTGGAACACTGCTAAACCTGGGGAACCTTATCCTGAGTGAAACAGGCCAGTCACAAAGGCAAAAACATAAAATTCCACTTAATGTGAGGTCCCTAGAACAGGCAAACTCAGAGAGACAGAAAAGTGGAAGGGTAGCTACCAGGGGCAGGGGAGCTACAAATGGAAGGTCAGTGTTTCATGGGGACACTAAAGGAATGAAAAAGTTCTGGAGATGGCTGGTGCTGATGGCTGCATAGCAGCAGTAATGCACTTAATGCCACCGTATACTTAAAGATGGTTAAAAATTGTGAATTTTACATTATGTGTATCTATTTTACCACAATAAAAATACATAATTTTTCAAACGGAGGAAAGGTTTTAGACTGGCACGTCTTACTCTCCACCAGTGCTTCTCAAAGAAGGGCTCTGGGCCAGCAGCATCAAGCACCACCAGTGAAGTTGTTAGAAATGCAAATTGTCATGCCAAGCCCCAGATCTGACTTCAGAAACAGACGGGACAAGGATTGGCGATTTAACAAGCCCCCCAGGTTGTCCTGAATCTCGCTGAAGTTTGAGAACCACTCCTCTGCATAACCCTATTAATTCTAGCTGGTTCCCTCTGTCTAGGCTCTTCCCTCCTTACCCCCTCCATCCTTAATGACAGTTAAGAACCCCACTGTCAGGATGCTCATGGGATGAACTTACCCGTTCCCATGACACTCAAAGGGAACTACACCTTGTTAAGAAGGTGACTGTTCCCAGGCTTCCCAAATGAGGCTCTGTGGACCCCGTGCAGCAGAATGACACGGCAGGAGTCTCTGTAAACACCCATTTCCCGACTTAACCCAGGGGATACCCTGCATCTAGCACAGGCGCTAAGGTAAAGGGGCCCCAAGTAAGTACCTGACAAATGAATGCGCAAACGCGCAACAGAGCGTATCTACACGTCCCGCATCAGGATGTCAACTGTCATCGACGAAAGTAAAACTCTTTGTTCATGACATTCCACCCACCTCCAATAATTAGCCTGAATGTACATTCACCAGCACAAGGCCCCGCACAGTGTGCAGAGAGCCTCACATCCTTTTATAATCTGAATTCAAAGCCAGCTTGACCCCTGCCTCCCCCTAAAGCCCTCCCGACCAGAATCTGCAGAAACCCGGGCCTTCCTCACACCGTCTGATTCTCCAGCAACCAATTAACGAACCTATGGCTCGGCCACCACAGTCTCAAGTTGTCATAAAATATTCTACCTTTGTGTTTACGTCCGTGTTCCAGCAGGAGACTTATCTTCTAAGTCTGCATCTGCACAGCACTCACCACAAAACCAGCTGCCCTGGAGGTCTCAATACCCTACTGCCAAACCTTCCCTGGTCTTGTATTCACAGGTGTCACCCTACCTGTCCTCTCCTCTGCTAGTGCCCAGACCCTCCTGGCCTCACAGTTAGCATCCCTCAGCCACACCCACGCCAGCTTGGGAGCCTTGGCCCTGGGACAAAGTGTGAGCCAACGGCCCAGACTTCACCACAGCCTGTCCCCATTAATTCCACGTGACCCCAAAGTCACATGTACCATCCGACAAATTAGAATTGTCTCACCTTCCTCTGTATCACTGTCCCCAACATCACTACCCTCCATTCACCCACTGCCTTTCTCCATCCTTCATAGCCAGCCCGTGACACCTGCACCCACCCAGTCACCTTCCTTCCCGCCCAACTCACTCAACCTCCTGCTGAGCTAGGTCAAGACCTTGCTCTGCCGTGAAGCCCCCGTCCAGTCACACTTGCAGTTGCACCACTGAGCTCCCAGCCTCCGACCCACATGGGATAATGCTCTTACACCAAGAGGTGAAGGCTCGGACTCTGCAATCAGGCCCATTTGTAAACCCTGGCTTTGCCACGTTGAAAAGCTGGGGCATCCTGGATGCGTATTTTAAATTCTTGGAGTTGCTGCCCATGAGGACTGCTGTGAAGAGCATATGGGATACTGAGGGAAAGAGCCTTGCCCACAACCGGCCCTTGCCCTGCAGGACACATCACTCACGTGCACTTATCTGAGAACCCGCTCAGAAGGGAACACACACCTCAGGGCTACGGAGGAGCCTCTGATGAAGCACAATGAAGTCTAGAGCAAAGCAGCCCCAGAGAGCACAGCCAGAGAGCCTGGAGCCCGCGCCCCGGGCTGGGTTAGCACAGGGAGCCTGGGGCTCCCCCCAAACCCACCACCACTGGTTCAGAAGGGAGAAGCCCGGACAGTGAGTCAGAATCTGCATTTTCACAAGCTCCCCAGGTGATATGTGTGCACATTAAAGTGAAAAGCACTGCTTTGGAGATGCCCCACAGCCCCTGCCAGCCCCCAAGCTTCCTCCAGTACACTACGTTGTAGTCCCGGGGCCTGTTTTTCATGTATTTCCACAGGGCTGCAGGGAAGGCAGTGTAGATAGTGCAGCCAGGAACAGACTGAAGTCAAACTACTCAGTTCAAAGCCTGCTGCACAGGGCTGCTGGGGAGATTCCACAAGAAATGCCGGAGAGCCCAGAACGCGGCCTGGCGCTCAGCAAGGCTCTTGGTCCCCGTGAGCCATTTTTAGCTGCTGCTGAAGAAATAAGAGCCGCGAGAATGAGGTGGGAAAGGAAAGTCTCTCGGAGGCACTGATATATAAGCAGAAAGACCAGTCACCAGCCATGACTGAGGGGAAGAGCTAAGAAATACAAGTGATCAAGGTGGAGGCAGCTGCAATCCCAGGGGTTGGGGAACGCTGTGCAGGCCTACAGGCCCTCAAGTTTCATCTAAATAGAACGGGCAGCCTCTGAAGGCTTGTGTGATGTGGCGTGTCCTCCAATACCACTATAGTTATATTGCCTGCAGTGGCTGCAGGGCCCCGGAGCGGAGCGGAGAGACCACTAAGGAGGCCCCAGCGGTGGTCGGTTAAGAGAGAAGCATCGGCTTAGGCCAAGGCTGAGAGAAGTGGTCAGACTCTGGAACTACTCTGAAGACAGGGCTGCTGGTGAACTGGACCTGTCAGGACATGAGGACGGCTCGTTTGTAGCCTGCGTAACTGAGCTGAGTGCTGTGGGATCTGGGTCAAGGAAAGTCGAGACATCCCGGAGACAAGCACAAGGATGTCAGGGATGGGTCCATGACCGCAGGCTGGCACTCAGGGAAGAACTCCAGGCTCAGGAGCAAACACTCACAACAGTGTAAGCCCTTGAAGACAAAGGTAAAGTCGTTCTCCCCTCTGAGACCTTCACCACCGTATCATATGCGTAGAGCAGGTGCTCGATACACATCAGTCAACAGCACTTCAGGACAAAGTGAGATGGAGGTGTTTGGCGGGTGGTGATCGTGATGATGGGGCTTAGGTGAGAATTTGTAGAGCAGTGTCTCTAAGGAGTTGGGAGAAGAGTCAAGATTCCAGGGCTGCGGAACGAGTACTGGTTCCTGAAGACTGGCTCACTTTATGGAAGAAAAGCAAACAGGCAGAGCAGGTTTGGGAATGTGAGGAGAAATGTGGAATGTCTTCCACCAGTAAGCTCAGGAGGAGGGGTGTAGAGTTGGTCTTGTGTATCCCCGGGTTCTGCATCCACAGATTCAACCAAACCCCAGCTACGCCATTTTATCTAGAGGACTTGAGTACTGGTGGATCCCAGTGGCCGCTGGGGGTTCTGTAACCAATCATCTGTGGACACTGAGGGATGACTGGTACTCCTGGGAAGTGGCAGCAAGATGAAATACTGGTTCAGGGAAGTTGGGGCACCATCAAGTGGGAGGGTCTGGAAAGATTACGGAGCTGGGGTGACGTCTCTCCTCCCTACCTCTCACAATGCCTTGGAAGTGGGCATGTATCCTTGACAATTATGGACCAGAATATAGCCAGACTTTCCCTTTCTAATATGGATGAAAGCTTCCTCTTCCTGGAATGAGAGCTCCTCAGAGACCCTGCAGAGGATAGCCAGCACATCCCTCTCTCAAGGAACCTACTGCACATGACTCCAGTCCAGCCCTCCCCTTTTCCTCTGGGACAAACATCTTGATAGAAGCTCCCTGACATGAAGAAAGCAAAACCCAGGACAGGTGCCTCTTAGTCCCCGCTACTGTGTCAGTACCCAGTGAGCGCTCCTGACCCATTGTCCTGGGGGTTTCGGGGACCCAAGGATAAACAAGTTCCTGGCAGGAGGCACAGGACACAAAGTGAGCAGGGCGATGAGTGAGCGCATGTGAGGTGGTGGGAGAGGCCGCAGAGCCCGTGTGAAGCTCGTCTGGCCTTCGCCACCACTGCTCTCCAGGCAAAACCAGCTCTCTCCTCCGTGCGCCTACTGCTGTCAAGCCTGCACACCTGCCTGTGTCTCCCAACTCCTACTCCGCCAGGCGGGGCGCCGGGTCTCGCCCAAAGTGTGCACTTGACAGAGACCTAGGGAAAAATTCCCAAAGGCTAGGGAATC